ATACCCGCCTCATGTCAGGATGGATTATAAAGTGCTTTGTTTTCAAAAAATACAGAGGGCAAGCAGAGTAGAAAAAGGCTTTTTTCAAGCCTGGGTAAGAATGATAAATTTATAGATTTTTAAGCAACAGAGAACATTCCAAAAGAAGAAGATTAATGTATTTGATTATATTAAAATGTAAACTTAGAAACACAGCGGTATCACGCAACCGACACGGAAACAGCAAGCTGAGAAAAACAGCTGCAACGCCTATGACGGAAATGGTTATCTGTTCATAATTATCGAATTAAAAAAAATTTAACCAAAAGGTGATAAAATTGACTCAAAAAACCATCACGCTGGAAAGAATGCGAAACCGGAACAGCCACACAATGTCGGTGGCAGAATAAGCCATGACTATCTCTCGAGAGAATAATATGACAATCATTACGAAAATTCGCACGGGCCCTCACACCCTGGCCTCGAGTCCAACTTTCAGAAATACCTTCTGAGGAAAGAGCCTGCTGAAGGGCACTGTGCCTCTGGACCCGGCCTCTAACAGCGTCAACGCGCCACCCCCTGCAAAGTCTGTGCACAGCCCCTGCGCTGACCACTGACTGCAAGCGAGCCCCTCCCTAGACCCTCCCCGCCTCTCCCCCTCCCGCCAGCGGGCCTCAAACACGCCCTGCGGGCTGGTCCTGCAGACTGTGGCTCATGTCTGCTCCTGTGGCTCTCCCCGACCGCCCGCCCCGTCACCTCAGGTCTCTATTCAAACCTCACTTTTTCAGAGGGGCCTTTCCAGACCATTCTAGAAAAGTCTGAGCCCCTCCCTGTCACCCTGCATTACAGTCCCTGCTGAGTCTCACCCTGCACACGTCCTCTCATCGCCCACATGCTCGTCCGTCTCCTCCACCAGCAGGCCAAGCTCCTCGAGGGCAGGGAGCGTGTCCTTCTTCTCCCCCAGTGAGCCCCTGGTGTCTAGCACAGGCCTGGCATATCATAAGTGCTCAAGAATCACTCGTTACCTGACTGACTGAACAAATGAGTGAACCAATAAACGTACGCAAAACCCAATCAAACCGGCCCCTTTGGAAATGCAGTTTGCCTTCTCCGGCTGTCCTCGTGGGAAGCGCCTCCGTACCTGTCAGAGGCTCCACCTGGTTCTGTTTCCCCTCTGGAGACGTTTCTGCCTTCCTAGCCGGCATCGAAATGTCAAGGTAAGATTTCCGACTACACAGTGGGTCGGTCACCCCCAACCTCCTGGTCTAGTCACATAGAAATACATCAAATATCTCTACAACTACTGGAATAAATATAACAAAAATCATTTTAACCATAGGGCTGAAGTTGAAGCCAGGAAAGGGAAATGCACGGGTGCTAGAGGCGAGGAGGGGGCCATCTCTAGAGCAGCCGGAACGTGAGCCAGCCCCACACTGTCCTGGCGTCCCTCAGACCTGCACAGAGCGGGGTGCACTAATGGCACCCTGGGGTTCAGCGTGGGCTCTCGGGGGCTGGGGCTTTAATGTCCTTCTGGGGTCAGGAGACCTGGGATTGTCCAAGGCTGTGAGTAGATGTGGCGCAGTCAAAGAAAGTTAGGGAACCAAACAGGTTATAGGAACATGATCAGAACACAGCCCAGGGAGATAAAGCCACGGGAAATATAAGGAGAGTCTAAGAGGCAGGGTAAGTGGACCGAGAAGGTCCAGCACAGCTGTAATCGGAGTTCCAGAAGACCAGCGAGAATGGGGTGGAGCCAGTATTCAAGGAACAATAGCTCAGAATGTTCTGAAATCCATGAAAGACACCCGCCCTCGGAGTCTGGGAAGGTTGAATAAAGACATCTATATCAAGACACATTGTAGAGAAACTGTAAGGTGACAGAAATAAAAAGAAATCTTAGAGGCATTCAGAACATTTCTTGTAAAATCACCTTTTATCGAGCGTTGGCGATTAAGCAGCAGACTCTGAGCCCGCGAGCAGTGTCTTCAAGGCGCTAAGGAAAACTCACTCTCAAACACGGATTCTATTTCCTGCCAAATCTTTATTAAAGACCAGGTAGAAATAGACATGTTTGAAGACAAAGGCCGAATTTGCACCCACCGGACCTCACGTAAAGGTCCACTGAAGGGTGTACTTCGGGAAATTGAATTCAGAACAAAGGAGTGAGACTTACTAAGCCATGATGAGCAAACTGCCCGGGGCCACAGGAAAACCCAAACCAGCACGGAGCGTTGTCAAAAAGAAGAAAAATGACTAATTCAGGTACTGTAGAAATAAGGCAGGATAGAAACACTAGGCAACGGTAATGTGTAAGTTGAAAGTGCTTGTTTTATTCAGGATGATAGAAATATTAACTTTAGGCTTTATAAGCTTACGACACGTTAAAATTTTAAGGGTAACCTCTGTTAAGAAAAGAAATAAAATATTTAAGTCTTAGAATCGTGGAGGGAGAAAAAGTGATAAGGAAAACTCAGAACCAAACAGAGAAAGAAAAAAAAGAAGGAGCTGGGCAAATCACGGAGAATACAAAATAAAGGGGTAAAAAAAATTCCAAACGCCCATCACAATAAATGGAAACGGACAAAAACTTCACTGTTAAAAAGGCAAAGATGTTTGTTTGGGGTTTTTTAAAATACAGATAAATGCTATTTTACAAGAAACACACCCAGAACATGACAACCAAAGAGTGACAGTCAAAGGTTGGGAAAACATATATCTGACAAATACTAATAAAAAGAAAATTGTTATGGGTGTTTTAATATCAGATAAGGTAGATCATAAAAGTCAGAAGGATAAAAAGGTAACTATATAATTATAAAAGAAACGGTTGACCAGGAAGATACGACAGATCGTCCAGATCTGTGCCAGGGGACATGCCTAGTTTATAACTCACAATATTCGCATGTGGACATTCACCTTGCTGTGTTCTTAGCCTCCACGGCTCGCTCTGTGCGCCTGTCAGTGTGCACAGCCACTACCTGGTAAGCCGCCCTGGCGTGGGGCAGTTCGTTGGTATTTCTGCATTCTAAGCACCTCCCACCATGACTGGCAGAGAAAAAGCACTCATTCAATGTACGTCCATTACACTTATAATTTGGAAGGCTATGAAGCCGATATGAAGAATGTCTGCAATGTGCTTTCCTATTTAAAAAGCACAATATAAAACTGTAGGTGCGCTTGGATTACAGCTACGTAAAAATTATACGTGTATTTGGCTACAAAGCTACGAAGAGAATATAGAAAAATGAAAACAGTGAATCTGTATCTAAGGTGCATGGCGACTTTTTGTTTTTGATTTTTCTTATTGCTATTAAATTATTACTTATATAATTTTGAAAATGAAATGAAAAGAAATGGCTATATAACTTTTACTGATGCAAGAAAGTAATTCCTAAAAATATTTCACTGTGTACAGGCAGGAAAGCGAAGCCGTTCTCTAAGCCATGGAAATATTTACTCGGCCATGTGGCAGTACAGTGACTCTCCGGGTGCCTGGGGCACTGAGGCAAGAAAGGGAGGCGGTGGGAAGCGGCCCGGCTGGTCTAGCTTCACACTGCTTTTCCCCTTGCTCCTCTCACGCCTCTTCTTTCTAGGTAGGAGTTTCATAGGACGATCTTCCCATTAGCCTCAACCCTACTTCCCCCGAGAAAAGGTTCTCTCGAGTTACCTGGGCAGAAACCAGGGAAGTTAAAGGCGGTGTTCCTTACCTAGAGTTTGGTCTACATGTACCATTTCCAACTGAAAAGAAACAGGGGTCTTTGGAGAACTGGTTTATTCCGGGCCAGGGGCGAGAGGCGCACCAGAAGAGCCTGGTGCGCTGTGTCGCACCGGAAAGCAAGACGGCCATCGGAGACTACGAGGTCCCATCGAAGGGCTCAGGAGCCCACTCGGAAAGGCGCCCACAGGCCCAAATGAGACAAGTTGCGTATCAACGAGAATAACCGCTGGAATGAATTAAAACGTGTCAAATATGTTTATATTCGTGAGTTCGTAATAATATTTCTTAAGAAAAGTCACTCGTTGCTCATTTTTGGAGGATGCTAGGAAACCAACTCACTATTGTGAAAAGCAGTAATAGCGACGGGAAAGAACAGAGATCTCCTGCTTTTCTTATGCTGACGCTGCCTCGCCATCGCCAGAGGTGGAGAGGGGACTTTTCATTACAGAAAGATTCCCACCAGAAGAAGAAATGACAGATGCGGACTATCACCACTCTACCATTTCCAGAGAATAAGCGGGTATCAGTACCATCGACGTGGCTGCTAACATCACGAAAAGAGGAACAGCCAGTCCACACATGCTCGCCGCCCCTATGAAGTATTGTTGCCCCCGAATTGAACATGGGCCCGTATATCTATCAGTTAGGAGGAGGGGGTTAGGGGGGAGACAGGAGAACACGTTAAATGTCACTGTGTGTTGCAATCGGTCAGACTGATATTGTAAGAAACTCAACATAACAAATAATCCAGACTTCTACAAACGCCGCGCAGGGGAAATAATTAACAAGTGGAGAAGGACCCTAGAGATGAAAAAGGAACTGTGGTAAATCAGTCAATTGAAATGGACAGACCTTATGTGGATCCTGACTCAAATAAATTATAAAAGAAAATATGATACAATCAGTTGAATTTGAACCCTTGACCGGATATTTACCATATTGATAATTCCATTGGGTATGAAAATGGTATTTTCACCCTGTTTTTAAAAAGAGTTCTTATCTTTTAGAGACACACAGTGAGATCTTTGCAATGAAATATGATGTCTGGTATTTGCTTCAAAAGTATGTGGGGACGAGGAAAAAGGGGCGGGGCCACATACCAGGTGCTCGCTCGTGACAGCGTCGGAGCTGGGTCCTGGGGAGCCTACTGCATTCGCTCTCTGCATCTCTTTACTTTCGCATGTGTTAAAATTTCAATCGTGAAAAAAGTCCAAAACATTAATAAAAAATAAATGAAGCTGTTCCTTATTCTCGTGGTTGACGTTTGGGAAGAAAAATGACAAAGAAATGACGGGACGCTCACCTTTTCATTAACTGGATAAAAATTCTTCGCGGTAACCGGTATACAAAGGTGTCGAGGACGATCTTGAGGTAATTCAAAGATATGCACCCACATTTGGAGGGGTCCCCCGCACTCAGGGCTTTCTCGACCCTCTCATAGGACTTCGAAAGCTGCAACAAATTAAAAGTAGTGTTACATTCACAGAAGTCAGCTTCATGGAGCTATTCGACCATTTTATTTTTACTGAAACCTCTTCACACTTTCCTCTCCAAAAATTGATCAAAAAGGTTATGATGGCACGTAGCGAACTTCAAATGTTTAATTGATGAGCTCACTACAAAACAGCATCCCCAGTTACAGCTACTCAACTGACAAGGCAGCTGAGTTTCCCGGGGAAAAACAGCACATATAATATAGCTCCACCTCAAATTTCAGAGCTAAAAATACTCTGTGGATCTGCCAGTTTGATACATCTTTCTTAATATACTTTCAAACCATCTCCCTACTGTGAGCCACCCTGTTTCTCATGATTAAGTCAGGTCAATCAAACAAAAAAAGCGGGCGACATTTTATTAAAACTAGAAGCAGCTTTCATAGTAAGGGAAATTATTGATAAAGGATTGCATAAACAGTACACATCGGACATTTCTTTAATTCTTTTTTTTTTTTTTAATGAGGAATTCTTACAAAGAAGCAGGGTGAATGAGCTTTGCTTGTGGGACTTCTAAAATGCAGTAAAGTAGGTTAACCACTGATTTTTATATGACTCATAAAAATACTATGAAGATGGGCTTTATTTCCAAAGGTTTTCCTGCTGCTTATTACTGAGTAACAACAATACTCTCCAATACTTACAACCCTCTTTGCTTTATCTGATTCAGTTTTCCTTGCTGACTGGGATAAGAAGATAAACAAAATAGCCACCAACTTGGTCTAAAAGGTGACTTTTTTAAAAAGCTACTGGAACATGGAAATAGATGTACAAGAGTCTCTATCCACAAAAGGAATAAGAAGCAGATTCATTAAAATTTCCTTAGAGTATACAAGAATATTGGAAATCTATGAGGAAAATCTTTGAAAATATTTGGAGACTCACAGAGCTTACGCTTCTTAGGAAGTTGTGCAAAATTAACCCCAAAGATGGCTAAATTTGCCCATCTCTCTTCCAGGAATGTGGGGTGCCTGGGAAAGACTCCTGAGGAGGGAAACCACAGCCACGTGTGGAGCAGGGCCTCGGTGTGCTTGCTGCATCAACGAAATCCACAGTTAACGTCTTCATGGCATTTGGTCTCCAGTAAGGTTTGTTTCAGAGAGGGTTTCTGACATAAATTAATTCTTTGGGCTGTTCTGAACCCAGACCTCGGCTCACCTTCAGACGGGCACCTCTGTCCTGGACACTGGAAAGGCTGTTTGAGTCTGGACTGAGCTGTCAGCCTCTCGCACTGGTGTCATCTCTCTTCTTTTCTTTCTTTCTTTTCTTTCTTTTCTTTTCTTTCTTTTCTTTCTTTTCTTCCTTCCTTCCTTCCTCCTTCCCTCCCTCCCTCTCTCTTTCTTTCTTTTTTTAAAGAGCAGGGAATGAAACAGAAGCGTCATCTTGGCGACAAGTATAACCTTTTAGGAGTTGTCATTGTTATTGTTTATAATGGAACGGGAGATCAAAATGCAAGCGCTTCAGCAAAGTATCTAAAAGGACATGATGACGCCACGTTTTTTTACATGGTGTTCCCCAAACTCCCATCGTGATCATATAAACATATATCATAGTCTCACAAAAATGGGATCATACTATTCTTTCATATTTGATGAATGCTTTCTTCATTTAACAGTCTGCATTAAGTTTCTTTCCACAAGAACTGGGATATACTCTTAAATGACGTATGGCATGTCATCATATTATTGTGGACAAGTGAAAGGTAAACTTTATTTCCACGTTTACACATTTGATTGTTACGTTTCCCTACTCTCCGATCTAAATGAGGTCCCCTTTGTCATTCTCTCGTAACACCCCGTCCCCTTCTGTCGTACAACTCAAGAAAAACTGTCTTTATGCATGTGCGTGTTCGTCTGACATCTCTCTCCCTGATGTGCAGTCACGCACTCTCCATGAAGGGAGAGACGGTGTCTGTTTTCTTCACTGAGAATTGTCTACAAAGAAGTATGATTTGGCATGCGGTAGGCACTCGTTAAATATTTCCTAAAAATGGATTTTTTTTTTTTTTTTTACCAATCATGTTCTAAAGAAAGGTTGAGAAATGGAAAGCGCTGCTCGACACATCAGTAAAAAGAGAAATGAAAATTAAAATCATAGCTGAGATGCCATCTCGCTTGCCTCAGACTGGTAAAGATTTTAAATCCTAACAATATCATGTCGGTGAGTACGTAGGACAACAAGAATTCTCACATGCTTCCGGTGAGAGTGTACATTGGTATTTTGAAAAGCAGTCTGACACTGCCAATTAAAGCTGAGGCGTGTGTTCCCTACAACCTAACAAGTAATTCCACTCCTAAGTGTAATTCCTGGAGAACCTTTGCACAGGCACCAGAAGATATGTACACACGCACCCACTTAACGGTTTACACCACGAAACAGAAAGCAGTTCAAACATTCATCCATAGGAGAGTGTATAATTTGTGTTTATTTAGATGATGGGAAACTGTACAGCAGTGAAAATGATAATATAGCTATATCTATAATGTAGGTGAATCACATCCTAAGCATAGAGTGAAAACAAATGGCTTTGCAACTATGCAAACATACTACAAAAAAGACAGACACAAACAAACAACAAGCAAAAGCCAAAGAACCCAATCTGTAAGGAAACATAATACAAAAAAATATAAACACATCACCTGCAAAGGTTTCATTTCATTAAAAGGAACTAAATAAAAAACATGAATTCATTAAAAGAAAAGCTTGCAGACAAGATGAGAAAACGATAAAAGATATGAGAATGAATATTTCAAAGCCAAGAAAATAGAAAACAAAAATAACATCATTATCGGAATGAAAAAACAAATTAGAAACAGCAATAAGAGACAAGGCTGAAATTAAAAGTAATGGTAAAGGAATGGCTAGAAAGAATCTCAATGAAGGCAGAGGAAGGAGACAAAATGATTAAAGCAATCCGAGAGGAGCTGCCAGCTATCGAGGATGGACAAAGATGGTCCAATACAAGGATAACTGGGAATACCGCTGAAAGGAGGAAAGACGGAAGAAAGATGGGGTTGGGGTGGAAGGAGAGAAGGATGGAGGCAGGGAGAAGATTTTAGTGAAACGACAAAGGCAAAATTTTTCCTGAAATGAAAGAACTGAATCTGTACGGCAAAAGCACACACTGTGCTCCAGGACGCTTGGACAAAATGCTCCGTGCCAAGGTGGCTTCGTTTTGCTTTTTAATTTCAAGAAAAAACACTTTAGGTATCTGGGTTGGGGGAAAAAAAATCATCTACACGAGGGAAAAGAATCAGTTGGCTTCAGGCTTCTCCCCAAGAACACCCAATGCCAGAAGACAACAGAAAAACACAACATTTTGAGAAAAAAAAAAGTATGATGAATGAAATTATACTCAGCCAAGTTGTTGTCCTAGTAAAAAAGCAAAAGGGAGATAGTCTCGAATATGAAAAAACAAAGGGAAAAGCACCCGTGAGCCTTCCTTAAGGAAATTACTTGACAATGAAATCAACTAACTGGGAATAAATCAAAATAAAGAACTCGAAGGGATAAGCACAGAAGCACAGCGATGCGCGGGCGATCCACAGTCCACGCAAAATGACAGCGAAGGCGAATGACGCGCGGGGTTGTGGTCACAGGACAGAAGGTAAATAGTATGAACTCTGACTAAGAACAAAATACACACAGCAAAAATTGTGAGGTGAGAGGGAGGAGTAGAAAAAAATGACCGAAGTGCCAGCCGCCTTGAGTGTCCAAGCAGGGAGCCAGCCCGCACTGTCCGTCCTGAGACGTCCTTCGACAACGCCATAATTTGTCCAACTCCTAATGGCTTTCTTAATCTCTTTCCTTGTCTCATAGTCTCTTTTGAGACTAACGTCTCTTGTGGTAATGAAACATCTATCCATAGTTCATAAATATCTCTAGCTTCGTTTGAGGACTTTGGGCTTTCCACTTGGCTCCGGGACTTACTGGCAAGGTCGCCTCGGGCAGCCCGCTAGACCTGTCTGTGCCTCGGTTTCCTCACCTTGCGTCTGGGATGGTAGCAGTGCCACGGAGACTGAACAGAACACCTGGGAGGCGCTTACGACACTGCCTGGCACGTAGGCAGCCCCAGGAAATGGTTATTATGAGGGTGACGATGATGTGTTCTTCTGGTAAATTCAAAGAAATTTAAATTAAATATGCCTATTTGTTTAAAAAAAAAAGAGCATGATTCTCTTCTTATAAAATTATGTCTATAGATCCACCCACCCACCGATGCAGCCATCCTTCCATATAAATGAATAAAGACAGGCCTAGAATTATGTTCACTAAATGTCTTTCATTATTTCTGGATGGTAGATTTTGAGTAATTTATTACTTCCTTCTTTATACTTTTCAGAATTGCTTACTTTTTTTGTAATGGTCATGTTTTTATGAAAACAAGAAATGCATCAACAACAAGAAAAAATAAGGTTTACCAATTGACTAAGACTATATTAAGTGCTCACTTCTCCTATGCCCTGATCAACACTGGCTTTTGTTCATTTTTTCCTCATTGACAATTTTCTACTGAAAATTTTATATTAATAATTTGTAAAAGTTCTATGTATGTTAGGAACCGTTATTATTTACCTGTTGTTTATGTGGCACATATTTTGCCAAGTTTATTATTTGTTTATATAGTTTCGCTGTACAAAAGCTTTTTCATTTTAATGTAGTCTAATTTATCAATCTTTTTCCTATAGTTTTGAGGCTTTAATTCATCCTTAAAAGTCTAAATTTCAAGATTAAAATTTTTTCACCCACACTGCATATTTTCAAATTTAAATACATGATGCATATAGAATTTATTTTGGTGTGAAGAGTGGAAGGTTACAAGCTCCTGCCCACAAAATGGCTGGCTAGTGAATTATCCATTAAAAGTCACTGAACTTGCCACTCCCTGCCCCACCACACCTTACTGAAACGCCTCACATCAAATGCTACATTCGCATTTAAAGATTGGTTCATTATCCAACAATTGTTTTGAATCAATTTGAATGTCCATCGCTGTACCAGTGCTATATTGTCTTAATTACTATACCTTTATAAATTATTTTACATGTGATAGGAAAAGTCCTCTATTATAACTTTTCAAAAGAAAATACATGTATCTCTCCATCCAGATGTAGGGAGAGCAGGCATTTATTAGTGAATCTTCCAATCCAAGAACTAGAAAAGACCTGTTTATTTATTCAAGTTTTCCTTTATTTTACTTAAGTTGTATCATGTCTTTACATAAGCCTCAAATATTTCTGGTAAGATTTAGTATGTGAGTAGCGTGAAGGCGGTACTTAGAGTCACTCTCCCCTCACCGTTGCTATTACTGACGAATCACTAGTAGGAGATGGGGGAAGTCTCAGGGTGTGGTGAGGCGGGGGTAGGATCAAAGCTAATTTTAGAAATAACTCCAGACCTACTGGCTTTCCACAGATGTCAGTTTTCTCTGTCCACATTTTGGATAATCCTGGAATCAGGAAAACCTTCTCACCTCTTGGCAAAAGGTCCTCTCAATTTCATCCAAGGAGAAGTCTTTCCAAACACTGTCGGATGAATCAGAACTGGAGAGGTGCTCCCTCCTGAAATTCTTGACTTGTAGATTCTCCCATGAGACCTCTATTAAAACCAAAGAGCTTTAGTTTATTAATATTTTCAAAGTGGATTTAAATATTATGTTTCCTCTACATCATAACCTGTCTGGCAAAAACTGAGACTTGAACAAACCAAAAACATGATGAACTATGTAATAAATGGTATTGAAGTAATTGGATGAACGTTTTAGAAAAAAAAAAAATTAATCTACTTGCTATCTTATTCTAGGATAAACCTTAGAGTAAAATGTATACTAAAGTAGAATAATAAAACCATAAAAGTGGTAGAAGAAAATTAAGATGAATATTACATAAATATACCATCTTTGTATGAGAAGTCCTTTCTAAGGAACACAATAGAGTCAGAAATCATTGAAATAATGACTAGGTCTGACAATATAAATTTTTACTTTGTTTGGTAAAAAAAACACCAAACCATACAAATAACAATGAAAGAAAAATGAGTGGGAAAAACTATTGTAATATGCATAAGAAATACAGTTAATAGCCATCATATATGAGTACTCTCATGACTCAATAAGATAAATATAAATACCCAATAGAATAATAGATTAAGGTTATAAACAGGTAATTCACATAAAAAGGATTTAAAAATCCAACAAATATATGAAAAACTGCTCAAACTCATTGGTGATTTAAAAAGTGTAATTAAAACAAGTTAACATTTTTTTCCACTTGTCATATAGGCAAGGATGAAAGGGGATGATGAAGAAATAAATCAGTTCTATCTCGTGTATAGAAAACCTGGTACTTGAAGAGTCTTAAGTCTCCTTCGAGAACTTTATACTAAAGGAATAAAAGGACCACTCAACAAATGCACATGGGTAAGGATGCATTGTTTAAAAGACAAAAAAAAGACAATTTAACTATTCATTAATAGAGGATTGGTTTTATAAATTATGGTTCACTGAGCCCATGAAATACTACACAGATATTAAAAACAAAGGTGCCTATCTAAATTAATAGATGTGGAATTTTTTTCTTTGATATATTGTTTCATGATTGAAAGAAAAGACGACTAGCATGATTTAATTTTCATTTTAATGCTTATTTTGTGTATTTGCCTATCCATCCATCCATCCATCCATGTATCAGAAACAAAATCTAGGAGGATAATACACCAAAAAGAAGACAGTGGTAGGATTACAAGGGATTGTTATTTTGTGTTTATGTGTTTTCTGGTTTTTTTTTTTTTTTTTTTTGCAACAACCATGTATTGCTTTTATAATAAAAGAGAATAAAATAAATCTAAAATATAGCCATTTTCTTTCTCAAAGCCGACTGCAAAGAATCACAAATGGTTTCCCAGATTTATTTCCTAAAATGTCTGTAAATAAGCTTCACTCAAATTAAGCACACTTACAACTACTCAGCTGCAGTGAACAAACTGCCATCATCTGGAATTCCATTTCTTATCTAAAAAAAAAAAAAGAAGAAAAAGAAAAGGAAAAAGCCTCCCGCAGTAGACCCTCTGGCTACATAATAAAGTAAAAAGCCAGTCCTCAGAAGGCGGTCTGGAACTCTGGGGCCTCAGTGGACCGAGCTTTTGAAACATGGGCTCTGGGAACATGGAAGCTGCCCCCTCACTGAGAGGTGAGGAAGCCAAGCCAGGAGCCAGGATCGAACTTGGCCAGCCACACAGAGGTTCCTGGCCACAGCTTTCTGACAGTGTGTCCTCTGCTTCCTCCGCTCTGGGGGGCACTGGTGCGCTAATGACATCCACAGCAACACGCGGGCCCTGGAGGCTGGAGGGCTGGCTAAGGCGTGAGGCCGGCCCCCAGGAGCTCCCTGTGCAGGAACTCCCGCAGCCCCGGCCGCTGTAAGGGCCTGGCGACAGAGCTCCGTGACACCACGGCTGATGCCTTCTCCCTCGTCACAGTCATGCCAGGTTTCACTCTTCGGTGCAGCTGAGTGATGCCTGCCACTTTCCGATACTCCTTGCGTCTCCTCTGAAGGATACCTGCTGAGCCGGAATGAGCTAGGGCAGAAATCCAAGCTTAAGCGGCTACCTCGGCCTGCTGTGAGCACAGCTAAAAGGGAATGACCCTCAGGATCATTTCTGTGTGTGCCCAAATGGATGCTGCTTGATAAGCGAGACGATGACGGCTTATGAAGAGTGTAAATGTAGCAAAAACAGAAATATGTACAATTGAGAAAACATTGCTCTCTATCTAGACATTTGTAGATAACGGGTCGCAGCAAATGCCTGTACTAGAGACACCCTTACAGAGGTAAGAACAACAGCAAACTCGCAAACAGCTCTGGGTGATTAGTCCTGGCAATATCACATTTCCCCCATACATTAGAAAATTTCGTCCTAATCATTCCTAATTCATAGAAAATAGAAAAGTAGGAGTTCATATTAGAAATAGAAATGTACACAAAGAGGTACGTGGAATCAGGCACTCACTTATAAAAGTGAACTTTTGGAACAAAGGCGAGTGACATATATTTTAAAATTAAAGCTCTCAAGAATATCTCCCCCCAAATTCTAAGACCATCACACAGAAAACAAATACTATCAAAACACGAGTAAGTAAACATTTCAATCTAGAAACATTAGAAACAGTATAGAATGTATTTATCTGCCCACGGGCATCGAGGCTGGAGTGCCAAGGAGAGCATTTCTCAGTGGGAGCTCCAAGTCCCTTAAAACTCAGAAACTTTGAAACAGTATAAGGGTGAGGAGTGTCGACTCTGGAAACCCACTGCCTGGGTTCAATGACCGGCTCTGCAACCTTCAGTTAATAGCCATCGACCCTGTGCTTCAGTTTCCCATTCGCAAAAAGAGACAGAAAATAGTATCTATGCTGCCTATGGCATCCTGGCCACGAGGACAAGATGATGACTGCACGCCTGGCACGCAGTAGACATACGATATATTTAAAGTACACAAGGAAAGAAAATCTGAGCCCATGATTTTACACCCAGACGAACTGATTTTTTTTACTGTAAAGTCTACATACATCATGAACATGTAAGAAATCAGAGAACACCATTTCCGTGGGCACTTCCTAAGGAATATACCAAATTGACTAAAGAGACAAATAAGAAAGAAGCGAGCCAGCAGACGTGACAAAGGTTCTCACTCCGGAGGTGGCCGTCTCGTGGAAGCTGGGTTGGTGAAAGAGGAAGACCTACTTCTTAATGGCTTACGCAGAAAGAAATCAGCCGATATACTTAAACCTAGAAATGACCTTTGAACTGTTCCATAGAAGTCACTGTCTTCTTTGTTGGGTTATCACCCTGGGCAGCTGTCTGGACTCCTTGGCTTTTCCCAAAGCAAGTTAGTAAGGTAGGAATTCAAACCAGCCAACCCATGGTCCAAATAAAATAATTTCCATTTCTGACGATGTACGGTGATGTTAACTAAAGGTAATGTGGTAATCATTCAGCAACATAAGCCTATATTGCATCGTCATGTTGTACACCAAAAATTAATACAGTGTTTTAATTCAATCCAATTAATTAAAGTTCAATGATATAAATAAGTTAATTAAATTAAAAAATAATTTCCATTACGATCCAACCCAGAAAGGATACGTTGATACCATAAGATTCACCCACTGGGGCTGAGGCTTTTGAACAGACAGGATGGCCATGGGTATGATGAACAGCTGGTTTTCGTGATTCATCCTTTCCTGCTACACCAATAAACAGGCCTTTGTTTTGACAGCCTCGGTGTAGAGTTTTAATATGACGTGGCCAGAGCCCCAAACTACTATATCTTTAATTTAGAACAACCACATAAAAGATTTTACCTTCTAAGTGAAGGATTTGAATTTCAATTATGAAAGTTCTAAGTATGTTTTCAATAGGGAAATAGGCATAAGTAAGATTTTATTTTTAAATGATCTCTATAAATAGGGATAGAAGACAGACTGGACGAGGCCAGTGCTGTAGACAACACTACCAGTTAGGAGGCAGCAAGGAGAAGTTGAACTCATGCTGCAGAAACAGAAATATACAGAAGAATATACATGTATCTCATATTTAATCCAACCAAAGATGTCTTTCATTGTGAGATGTATCATCGTCTTATGAATCCCCAATAAAGAAAGCCTGCTTCTAATTATTGATAAAATGAAAAAAATGAGACATCCATGGTGAATTGAAATTCTCTTACAGAACTTACCTTCTTATAATACTTAATAACATATGCAAAAGAAAAAGATAGCAAAAATTGGAAAAAAAAAAATTACCAGCATAAACTGAAGCAAAAAAAAACTTAATATGGGCAGCCAGAAAGCTTTGCTTCCGATTGTGTTAGACTGGCTCATATTGAACCAATCAGCCAGCAGATAACAATTATACACTCTGGCCAAAACAGAAACAAACAAACAAAAAGACTATCTGAAGGCACTGGAAAGCAACTGACATAAACTGGAATTGACACTTGGAAGCACAGAATAACACTCATTGAGTTTCTTGTTATGTGGCCTTTTGCCTGAGGGCAAGTCACAGATGGAACCATGCTAAGTGGCTAGAATTTGGAAATAAACGCAGGGTCTTACCGGTTTTAGGAATCAGAAAACAGAGCTTATTCCTAAGCTCTGGAAAGTAGGCGGGGAAAGCCCAAAGAGAAAGGCATAGAGGAAGCTCTCTGGCCTGCGAATGCACTCTGCCCAAATCTCTGCCTGACCCCTGAACCAAAGACGTGTAGAGCTGATAACTAGAAACCCAGCTGAGGCTAAAATAGCAGAGATTTCAGGTGTTAACTCCCTCAAGGAAGACAAAGATTAGAATTTAAGTGCAGCCAAGTAAACTCTCTGCTAAAACAAAAACTTAAATTCTTCAGAGGAACATAACAGAATCCAGAGTCTCTACAATGCAAAATTTACTGTATCTAGGATAAGTTCCAAAACTGATACAGAGGGAGAAAGAAAAAAAAAAAAAAACAGGAAACTGTGATCCATATTTAATAAAAAATGCATTTGATAAAGACCAAACTCTGAGATGACTTAAATGTTGGAATTAGAAGGTAAAAAATTTTAAAGCATTTAAAAATTTTAAATTTAAAAATGGTGTTTGAGTCTACAGCCATGCCACCCTGAACAAGCCTGATCCCATTTGATCTCGGAAGCTAAGCAGGGTTGGGCCTGGTTAGTACTTGGATGGGAGACCACCTAGGAAGACCAGGTGCTATAGACGTAAAAAATAAAAAATAAGGGATTGTAAGCTGACAAGGTCCTTGCAATCTGTGAGGTCAACCAAGAGTTGCCTCGCCCAAAAAAATAAAAATAAAATAAAAATAATACAAATAAATAAAAATGGCATTTGAGAATGTAAAGGAAATTATACTCCCACTGAATGAACACAGGAACTGTCAGCAGAACAACAGAAGTTGTAGCAATGTATTCCGTGTCTGCAGCGTTTGTAAAGTACAATGCATGGCAGCGACAGAACAAAGGACAGGAGGGGAGAGTTGGGAAGACGTTGTTGACACTTCCCTACAGTCACGTGAATTAGCATATTATTTGAAGATAGATTCTGATTCATTAAAAATGTGATGAAATAAAACACTCAATTTATCCAAATTTCTTGAAATTATGTGAACTCTACAGGAAATGTCAGGGGAGAGGATAGGTGGATAGAGAAGGAAGAAGAGGAGCATAATGCAAAAAGGCAAAGATCCCCTTTTGGAAGAAAAGGAACTCAAGGTACAAAATTACTTTACAGAACATCTTAATAAGAACATAAATTCAATAAAAGAAGATGATAAACAACAAAATGAGATGAAAAGTAATATAGTAGATCAAAGGAATATAAGAGTAATAAAGCAGACACAGCAAGGAATGAAACAGACCTAAAATTACAGGTACAGATAAAAGACCTAAGGTGATCATCGAGAATACAGAGGAAAAGGACGAAGAGGATAAAGTGCTTTGAGAGAATGTAATTGATATAGAAGACAGAAACAATCCAACGGAAGAAGAATTTGTGCCACTGAAGTTAAAAATCTGAAAAATAGAACGGAAGATATTCAAAGATACATAATAGCATCAAAAACCGGACATAAAGAAATAACTGAATTTGCAGATTGAAAATACACCGCGTTTTGGAAAATTGATACAGAAAGCTCAACACCAAGATTCATCCTAGCCATACGACTGAAACTCAGGGATAAATAATTCTTTGGGCAATGAGCTGTAACCAAGGAGAAACGTTCTACAAATGTATCTCTTTCCATCTGTCCCTCCTCTCCACGGATCTGCCTGGAAAGGGGCCGGGATTAATGCTGAGTGGTTATTTCTGGGTGTTTAGGACTGGTTTGATCACTGACGTCATTGTTATACCCCTCTGGTTCCATGCCCACCTCACGTGGCTGCGGCGAAATGAAAAGAGACGGTACAGAAACATGGTTGGCCTGGTGCCTTCACGCGGCACTGGGCGGGGCCAACTGTTATGGCGATCGAATTGGCATATAAACTTTTTTGTGATGAGAGCCCTTCCCAATCAGGCTAGATGCCACCTTCTATCCCACTCGGGCTAACTGCACAGCCCATGCTTCAGACAAACATGTCCCCCCCGAGGGCTCACTCTCTCAGTGTCTGTCCCACACATCGGTGAGCCCTGGTCCTGCCAAGGTGCCTCCCAGCTCTTAAGTGGCCACCCCTCTTCCTCCTGTGAACACCCCATGACATCTGCTCTCTCTCACAGGCATTTAAATAGCTCGTTGGGGAGCTGAGCAGCTCGAATCCCGACTCCATCACAAACTAGCTGTGTGATGTTGGGAAATTCATCTGTAACCCACGTGTCCAAGTTTTTTCACCTGAAAAAGGGAATACTAATACCTGCCCCACACAGCTACTGAAGGAAATCAAAATTAAAATCAAGGTGTATAAAGTATCTACACAGCTCAATAAAGAGATGCTTGTTATTATTCTTTTTTATGTGACTTATTTTATATTTAATATGTATGTTACTAAATATATACACAACATATCTGCCCTATATTATATAGCAATACACATGCGTGCACACACACACACACACACACACGCTTCTTAAAGATAGATTACTTGGTTTTGTAACCAATGAAGGGCCTAGTAGTAGAGGACCTGCACATGAACTAACAAAACGTAGGGACAAAAGGGTCCTTGAAAGATTACTTGTCTAGTAACTTCCCAAACTTGGGAGGCTTTAAAGAGCAGAGTCCTGGAGTCTGCTATAAACTGTCTGAGTGAAACCGAGATGAAATCTGAAAATTTGTCATGTTTGAGCTTGCTAGTGAAGCAGATCTGAGACTCAGAGAAGGTGCTCAGTGAATTTCTGTAGTGCTGAATTAAGCTGAAACCACACAGTGACAACCCCTCTGGAAGGAGCCACAGGTGGTAACCTCTGAGGCAAGAAACCACTTGCTTCTGACGACCAAAGGGCTGAAAGGGAGACTCTCCAGTGGCGTCCCTCACACATGCATCCTTGGGGAACTGCTCTCCCCAGGACCCCCCAGCAGGTGGACCGCTCTGGGCGCTGTGTCCATGTGGCTAGCTTGGAGAAAGGACACTTCCTGAGGTTACAGGCCCACCCACAGCCTGGCTGCGTGTGGCCGGTCCGGCTGTAGGAACGGCTTGACGCTATCTGCCCTTTTATGATAAGATTTTCCCCCATCGTTAAAGGAATAACGTGTTCATTATCAAAAGATTTTGAAAATACAGAAGCAGCAGAAAGGGCCACACAACACCCAAGACACATTACTTAAAGATAATCTGAAGGTTGGAACATCCCTGCAATCATTCGCTGGTGTTCCGCACACGTTTCCACGTCACTGGGAACCTCACGGCTCGTGGGGCCCGCTGAGCCGTGCGGGTGTGCTGGACTCACCCTCTTCCTTCCGTTAGGCACGTGTGTTATTGTCGTAAATCACGATGCCGTGACTACCTTTGGGGACAATGCTTTTTCCACGTTTGGCAGTATTCTTGCAGGACAGGTTCACAGGAGAGGGACCACCACGGCAAAGGATGTCGAAACCTTTAGCTATGTACTTTAAAAATGCGTACCTTGGTTTCCCACAGAATACCTAAGGTTCAAGTTGTTATTTATACTGAGGTTCTTCAAAAAGACAATATAATCCACTGTGGTATCTTTATCGATGTTGTACTGTTGTGCAAACCTAAAATAGAAATATGCCTTAGTGATCAGAAAGTACGATAGAGACTCTAAAATGAAGAGAGATTTTGCTAGGGTGCCCTCTACCCCGGGGCTGATGTCCATTTTAAGGGGAGATTTTGCTAGGGTGCCCTCTACCCCAGGGCTGATGTCTATTTTAACGCGCGTTTCTAGCTGCAGCTCAGACGAAAAGTAAGCCTCAGGAAGCGCTATGCTTTATTTAAAAATGCAAGAATATCACTTTACTCAGCCCAGCGGTGGCTACATACAGGCTTGAGTGGGACAGGGACGTCTCAGCCTGCAACGCCACAGGGGGCGGCCAGGGCTTATGCTGCACGGGAGCCACCTCTGCACTCAGAGCAAAAGGAGGTCCCACTTTCCTTTAATAATTGGGGAGAATGGATCTGGGCCAGGAGACAGTTAACAAAGTTTCTATAACCAGAGGAACCTAGAGCTGGGTGGAAGGGAAAACCTAGCCTATCTTCTTGACCAAGCATATCATCCCATCAGAGAAACTGAGGCCCAAGACGACATACTGCTTCAAAGCAGTCAGCTGTGGCAGGTGGGAGGGGAGGGGGCTGTCTTGGCATTTTCTATGATTTCCGTAAGTACAAAGAAAATTTTTATGCATATGCAACGTTTCGCCTTGGAATATATTGAGATACTCTTTTTTTTTTTTTTAAAGTTAAGATAAATAGGATGTTTGGAATTGTTTTCCAATTATTCAAATCTGCCACTTGATAAATGGTTTTCTAGACAATTTCTGCATTATTACATTTATAAAAAAAATTGACAGTTTTTAAATGTTTGGTTACATTATCTCCACATGTGTTGGTTTCTATAATTACCCAATTTCATGCTGCTTTCTAAAAATTTAGTAATTATCACTGAAAGTATTTGTTATTTTTGTTTTCCAAATTTAACAAAGAGTAATGTCATGTATTCATTTCAGTGCATACCTTTTTCCACTTTGATGAATCTTGTCTATTGTTCTAATAAGAAAAATTATCTTGAGATATGATAGCTGCCAGATGTTAACACTGAAACTCTTGAAATAGCTCCATCTTTCATCCACAGTGTCTGTCTTGTGAAAAGAAGGCTGTAAGCTCGGGACCCCAGAAGCGGCACCTAGTGTTCTCCCTTTTGAGTGGCAGCCCTAGAGAAAGCGCTGGCTACGCCGCTGCTCCAGGAAAATGTCACATGCTGACAAAAATCTCGTCTCCAGCTTTCTGGTTTACAGGTACTGGCTTCTGAGAGGATCCCGGCCTCTCCTAATGCCCGGCCCGCCCACATTCACAACAGCTGCCACGTATTCACTGGGCACAGACAGACATAATTCGTGCTAATGTTCCTACAAATGAAATTTCAAAAACGAAGCCCCTGTACTGCCCACGCACGCAGTGTCTCAAAAGGCTTTCTGACAAGAATAAAGGCCTGGGAGACAGAAGCATTCCTGAGATGCAACAAGCAAAGCTATGTTCCCAGGGACCCGAGCTCTAGGCAGGAGAACTCACACGTCTGCAGAGACCCAGGCCTACGACTTCAGGGGCAAAGGGAAGGACGCCAATAGCCCCATAAACCTCTTCGTTGTCACCACCTGGACCTGTGCCTGGGCTTCAAGCATCAGTTCAGGCAGCGGGCTGACCTCTAGTGAGCAAGTGAGTTTTTCAGGCTGCTCATAAACTGTTTCACCTGGGTGTGAGCACTTTGGCCTGCAGGCAATGGAGGGTAGGTAAGGCAGTGTGAGTCGGGAAAGGAAAAACAAAACCCAGCGGGTCTCAGGATCCTCCAATTAAGCATAAAATCCTGCTTCTGTAGACTGGATGATGTTCTGCAGCCTAACCAAAGCTGTTTATCGAAGAGTAAAGGGTACTGATGGGATCTTTACGGTTAGGATATCGTCATCGTGAATCGAGCACCTTCTATGTGCCTGGTGCATCACTGGCATACTTTGTATCTTACGTGGAATCTTTGGACCAGCCCTGCAAGGCGGGCTCCTCAGTCTCCATTTCTTTAAGAGAAAACTGAGCCTCAGAGAGGCTGGGGAGCCTCCCGAGGCCCTAGAACCAGGCAGGGCACAGCCCTGACTCCCAGCGTGCCTGACTTCAAAGCCCAGGCCCCTCCCCCCACACCTGGCACCGACAGCTGATATTAAATAGAAAGCTGTTAGACTTAAAAAAAAAAGGGGGGGGGGGATTCAAAAATGCATTGTGTTTCCTGCTCAAAACTAAAAAGGCAAAGTTAATACTGAAGCAGCTTCTCAAGGAAGGAGTATATTCTTGAGCCTCAACAAGAAAAACATTAAAGCAATTGAAGAAATGGGCTACTTTGATCTTTTGCATTTCCATTCTAAAGGAAAGCAATTCTATTAAGTTTCTCAAATCTTATGAAAACGGTATTGTTTTTGAGGCTTAAGAAAATCTCGAATAAAAATTTGTGGAGTTCTTTATTATTCAATACTTATGAGATGGGGAAACAGACAGTAACATTTTTTATAGATTTACTAGGTTGGAGACTGCAGTGCCAAACACAAGGTTTATTGTCAAATAAAACACTGTTTTGTTTTTTGATTGCCTGTTTTAAAAGAGTGTTGCTTCTGTTCTATAATTGCGTGCACAAAATTATTTAATTTGTTTTGTTTGGATCTTATTCTGGACACTTTCCCAGCCGGAAAGATGTAAAAATTAAAACATCTATTATGGCTTTTATATTCTGAGGTGGGTTATAAAGAGGAAAAAAGAAGAAATTATTCAAAAGACTAGGAAATATCCATTTTTCAAAAAAGTCTCCCACTTTCTTTTAAAAGTCTCTTGCTTTTCAGACCCTGCAGTGCCCATCGCATGGGCACATGCCCTCTTGACTTCCTGCCACAGAAGCAATCTCGTCCGCTCCTGGCGGAAGCCACGTCTTTATGTAAGGAACCACAGCGACATGTTTTAATAGCGATTTACAACTGCAGGCTCGGTACTTTTGTTAGTGGCCTGGCAGATATTCAGAGAAGGGGGAAAGACAGGAGGAGGGAGAATGTCACCCGGTTAAGTGCTGTGAACATTAAGTTAAACAGGGACCCACCCTAGACTGGCTTGAACACAAAACTCAAGTAGCTACAGACGCCAAAATGTCTGGCTTCTTCTACATGATCTGGAGTTTACTGGAGGCTCAAAAAAATGCTCGTGCCAGCTTCCACACACTGCCCTCGAGTCAGGAGCAGGTGGCAGTGGCTTTCAAACATGAAAGAACAGCTAAATGTTCAGTTATTCACTGTCCCCTGCTGCGACGCCCGCCACCCCCACCCCAACCTCAGCGGTAATAGTCCTCAGAGGAAAATTAAGTTCTGGTTGTTATACCAGGATGCAATAGGGAACACATCGACGGATGAATAAACCCTGAAATGCGTCCTTCTCCTCCTAACCCCAGGCTTTGAGTAAAAGTCAGCTGTGAGCTGGCAACACATGGGGTGGAGGGTGTGGTGCCAGCCAGGAAAAGAGAGACGGCTGGTGACGGATCGCTTAAATAATCGCGATGCACTAAGTCTGCAGACCAGATGACGCTCGCGCCCCAGGGCACTTAAGGAATTGGAACCGCTGGCTCTCATATTTCTGAGAATCCGTGGAGCGCACGTGGAGAATGCGGGAGAAAGGCCAAATGACAAGCGCCTATTTTAAAAGCCGTGCGGACGCAGGAGGCGGGAGGCAGGGTCGTGCTGGGCGCGGTGCGCCCGATGTCCCATTTGGAAACTGGGTTCGAGTTCCACTGAGCGGTCGCTCGCCACACCGTCACTCACTTACTTTTTGAATTCATCGTCTTCCATCTTCAGACAGAAGGTCTCCAGAACCCTCCTCAGCTCGTGCAGCTGGATCAGACAGGTCTTGTTCGCGTCGATGAGCTTAAGAGCTTTGATAATAGTTTTAATGTTTTTGAAAATCTGTGTATAAAAGTGATTTAGGAAAAGTCAAAAGATCCGGTGTTGAAAACCAAAATGGTCATTTAAAAAAAGTGAAAGTTTTTAAATGCTTCTTATAAAATAAAATGCTTTCAAAAACTAACAATCGTATGTACTGCAAAATGACATGTCTATGGGAAAAAAAGAGAACACTCTGCATTTATTGAATGTTTTCAAGGCCATTTTCTCTGTAAACGGTCTTAGTAGGTTTTTAAGAAACGCTTCCTGATGTAAAGCAGTAAATCTCATACACAATTCGTTCCCTTGTAAGCCATACGAAAAATCTTTTTTGTTAATTGATACTTAAAAACTACAGTTCTGGCATACCTGGACTTGTACAATTTTTATTTTTCATGGCTATATGCAAACTAGGAACTAAGAGCTGAATGAAAAATATGACTATATTTCAACTCCTCTGAATTTTTAAAAGATATTACAGAGAAGTTTTATAGAGATCTTTCCCAAATTCAGCAAACGTATCTTTATTGGGCACACGAACGTGGCAAGTATTGGGACAGGCCCCATGGGGACGCAGAGAGCCACGAGCTGTGCTTTGCCCTTAAGCTACTCACACTGAGAGTCGAGAAACACCCACTGGGACGCTACATGTGCTGAGCACGGAGCCACGTGGCTGCCTCCTCCCAACCCACGGGAAGCCAGTACGACCACAACCCTACTTTTCGATAAAACTGAGGTTCGGGGAGGCTACACGAGTCACCCAACATCACCCTGCTAGATGCTGATCAATCCTTTAACTGCCACCTTGCAGAGGAGATAAGACATAGAAGTAAATGGGCCCTGGGAACAAGAGCCGAATGACAGAGACGCACGAGGAGCTGTGGGCCTTCGCAGGAGAGAACAAGCACTTAGCCAGAGCCCTCTGCGGGCTTCCTGCAGGAGGTGGCATCTGAGCTAGGAGGGTGGCTGGGTGCTGACTGCACCAGCACTAGGCGACCTCCCAGGCTGGCAGGAGGGTGTTCTCCATGGCAGGGTGTGAGGCCAAGACGGGACTGTGGAGGAAGAGCGATGAGCGGCCGGGAGGGCCGGATCCTGGACAGTCTGGTTCTCCCGTCCTGTCCCAGACCAAGTGCAAGTGCAGCCGGATTCTGAGGGAAATGCGTTCCGGCTGGAGAGGATGGGCCATCGAGCACTCACCTGGCTGCCCCTACTCGAGACCACTGGCCACCCATGGCCCCTCCCACCCTCATGCCCATGTCCTCGGGCATCTTTGCTCCCCTCACCATACTTACTCCTGGAGCTTGCCTGTGGCTTTAAAGACCAGCTGGTGGCTCTCAGAGGTCTATCCCCAGCCCCGGCGTCAATGTGAGCCCCGGTTAGGATGTCCAACTGAGTGCCTAGCGACATCAACCTTGAGAGCCTAGCAGACACCCCAGGTTCACCAAACACCACCTGCCCCAGCCCCCATCCCAGGACACGGCAGACCCTCCCTGCCAGGCCCTCCTCACGTCCCATACCCGGTCCATCGCGAGAGCCTAGCAGCCCTCCTTCTGCGGGGCGATGTAAGGGCCTCCCAGCTGGTCTTCCAGTTCCCACACTGAACTCAGCTATCCGTCCACACAGCGGCCAAGGCGTCCGGTGTAAACGAGCGTCTGAGCGTGGCCCCCTCTGCCCAGAGCCCTCCAGAGGCGCCATCGCATCCAGGTGCAGACCAGCTCCCGCCGTAACCTGCGGGCCGCTCAGACTGGCTCGTGGCAGTGCTCCCGCCCCACCTCCCCCAGCTGCCCAGCCCAGGCCTTCGCATGCCCTGGACCGCCCCCTCGGGCCCCTGCCTCCTGCCCCAAGGCCCTCGCATTTGCTGTTCCTTCTGCCTGGAACATTCTTCCCCAGAGCCACTGGCTCCTCCCTACTTCATTCAGGTCTTGGCCCAAGTGTCACCTCACCAATAAGGCCCCCCTTGACCACACCTATACGTTAGGGCCCCACCCCCAACCCTCGTTTCCTCTTCGAAGCACTTCTCACGAATGAACGTAACACTTGTCTGCAGTGACTGTCCCCGGGCAATTGTGCTTCCTGAGAGCAGCATGCTGATCACCACTTCACCCCGGGGCCCAGAACAGCAGCTGGCAGAGTGCGCGCGCTCAGGAAGCACTTGTTTGAGTGGATCGATGAGTCCATCTTCCTTTCACTTGCTGGGAAAAAGGCCACACTGAGGAAGCCTGGTTACACACCTGCAAATACCTCCTCGGGCCAATGCCAAATGCAATAAAGATGACAATAATATAATTGCACAAATAGTAATTGAATGTCGGCTGCGTGCAAAGTCTGTGCTAAGCGGCACGCACGCCTCCCACTTCTCACAAGCAGAGGGCCCTGGCTGAGACCAAGTTAGCACCCGAAACTGAGGGTACCAAGCGAGGAAGAGCAGGCGTGGCATCGGCCGACGGAGTGTCCACCTCAGCTCTGTCACTTCTCTGAGAGAACAGAGCCCTAGCCACAGGCACTTGCTTCCAGCACCCAGGCTGCGGCCACGTCGCGATTCGCCGCCCCCGCGGAATGAAGGGCGTGAGGCGCTGTGCTTTCTAACACCCCGGAGCAGCCCGCGCGGATCCCCAGCGTGGACTGTGGGAGGGAAGGCAGCTGGCACAGAACCCACGCCCGCCAGAGGTATGTCTCCAGGTTCCTTACCGTGTGTCAGACCAAAGTTTGGCAGGATCCGAAGTGAGCTGCACATGGTGAGGCTTATCAGAGGCAACTAAGTTAGGGCCGCGGTGCGTGAGCCTCGTCCCGTGCGGGAGAGAAGAAAAAGGCATGAAGGACAACATGGCGGGGGTCACAGTGACCATGCCGTGCCCCGCCCCACTTCCCTGCTGCCTTGTAAAGGGAGAAGAGCGTGGGAGGGGAAAAGGGAAAAAGGGTGGTGTGGAACATCCACCTCCTTTCGAGGCCGGCTAGACATCTGCCATTTTGGTGTAACTGGGACAAGTCAGCACTAGGAGCCAATCGTCTCTGAGCCTCCTGTTTACCCGACCCTCCACCCCAGCTCCGCTCTCGTGATCACGAGCTCCTGCCCCCACAGGCCCTGGCTCCAGCCATATGTACTGCGTACTGAGCCACTTCAGGTCACAAGCACAGCAGGGCCCGCGTGTGGGCTGGACAGTCCTCGCCTTGGCCCAGCCTGCCAAGCCCTACAGGGTCTGACCGGCCCCTCAAGCCTTCTCGACCTCACCTCACCCCTCCTGCTCTCGCCTCCCACTCCGCTCCGGGTCCTGGGCTCCTTGCTCCTCACACACACCACACACTCACTGGCCAAGACTGCGGCCTGGCCTCCTGCTGGACAGCGCCCCCACTCCGCCCTCCTGCAGCCTCGGTCCTGCCTCCGCCACCTGCCCGTGCTGAAGCACAAACTCAATCCGCCCTCACCACTCCCTTCGTTTCTCTCCTCTGCATTCACCCACACCTGGATGGGCCACCTGGACGGGCCACGTTTCTTTCTCTGTTGGTTGTCTTTCTTCCTCCACTGAAATGAAAACTCCAGGGAGGAGGACTTGGTTTTGTTGCCGCTGTATCGTGGGGCCTAGGACAGCACCTGGAAAAGTGCGTGCCCGCCACTATTTGCAGAGCGAGTCACCACGCTGTGACTGCTGCCGGAGGCCCTGCCTACACCTGCCACTGTCCCCTCTGGGGCAGGATCCAGTGGCTTCCCTTGCTGCTCTCCCTAGTCCATTTCCATCTGATCACTGGCTCCCTGACTTCTGTCTTGACATCTTGGCGTAGTTCTGCCTGGATCTGGTACCCAGCTCCCTCCCGACTCCGTCTGGCCTGTGCTCTCCAGGCTCTCCATCCCTGCCCTTCAGACCCCCACTGCTCTGAGGTAAGAGGGGAGACTCCGAATCCACAAATCCACAGGGGAGAGGGGAGAACGGTGCGAGTTAACGATAGGACAAGGGCCACTGCCTCTCGCTTCCTCCCTGCAACGCCAGCACGCATCTCAGAAAAGAAGATGCGGTCTTGGCCGTGACTGCCAGAGCCAGGCCTGAGAAAGGGCGCTCTCCTAGCTGCACCCCCATCCCCGCTCCACTCCCTATGGAAGCCCGACTTCCTTTCCCACATTCCAGGGGTGGCAAACTCTTGCCCACTGCCTGTTTCGTTCGCCTGCAAGCTAACATTAGTTCCTGAATTTTTATATGGTTGGAAAAATCGAAAGAATGATATTTTCTGACATGTGAAAGTTATGTAAATTTCAAATTTCAGGATCCTAAGTAAATGTAACTGGCGCCCACCTACGCCATTTATTTACATATTGCCTCTGACTACTTCCCCACATGGGCAGAGTTGAGCAAGTGGGCAGAACACCCGGTCTCCAAAGATAAAAATGTTTACTACCTTTACCGCGTAAGTCTACGACCCTTGTTCCACCCTCTCCCGTGAACCCCCACACACGTGTGAGTGGGTGGTAAGTGTCGGGGGCTTTACATACACACACACACAAGCAGAGGCACCGAGGATTCAGAAAGCCAGAAGAAGAGCGAGGTACGACTTTAAAGACTCAGGCGCCAGGAAATGGGCCTCTTCAGAAGTCGCCCAAAGTCTTCTCGGCCCAGCCACCTTCCTTACCCCTGTGTCAGACTCGGTCCCAGCCGTCACAGGCAGCCAGGCCCCACAGTTTGGGGCAGGATAGTGCATTCCCAGCCATAGGCTCTGAAATGAGACTCTGAACCCCAGCACCGCGCCATTACACAGGTGACCTGGAACGGCGACCTGACTCCTCTCAACTCCGTTTCCTCATCTGTGAAATGGGGGTGAACGAGGTGCTGCAGCGGTGTGTGGCTGAGGTGAATGAGCGCGTGTGTGCCAGTGCTTCACGGGGGACATGCTTAGCAAATGTGGTGTGACACAACTGCTGACTGCGACTGAAGGCCGAGGACAGATACACATAAGCAGAAGCCACACACCCGTGTCGGGGAACAGTAAGTGGCTGAGCCAGCACAACTACCCACCGCCCCAGCAAACTCCTCCAACTCCTTCGCTGCCCTGCTGCTTAATCTAAGTTAACATAAGCCTTGAGAAGGCGGAAGGCCTCGAGTGGGCAAGAGTCTGGGGCCAAGAACAGAGCCTAGATCAATGACTGTTTGTTGAGTGGATGAACAGATGGGTAATGGGTGGAATGAGGGATGATGGAGTGATGGAGAGATGGAGGGATGGAGGGATGGAGGGATGGAGGGATGGAGGGATGGATGGATGGATGGATGGATGGACGGATAGATAGATAGATAGATAGATAGATAGATATAGATAGATATAGATAGATAGATAGATGGATAGATGGATAGATGGATGGATGGATGGATGGATGGATGGATGGATGGATGGATGGATGGATGGACAGACAGACAGATGATGAGTAGATAAATGGATAGATGTATGGATGGACAGAGGAAAGGGTAGATGATGGGTGGGTGGATGGATGGACGGACAGGGCAACTGCAGCGTTCACGGGGAGGAAGCTTTCATAAGCCAAGGAAATCCTTGCATAGACAGGAGAGGTGCCTGAAAAAGGGCAGGTGGGCATCTACTGCCCAGTGGACTCAGTGATCTGCTCTGCATCTTCCCAGGGACAAGAACCAAGAATTGGACAGAGACAAGGAAGCAGGGCAGGAGGGGCGGATTAGAGCAATCTGCATGCCTATCATCGGCATGGATAGGACGAGTGGACTTTCCATGGGTTAAGTGGAGATCAAGAAAGGTAGAAGCTTGAATTGTCCTGCTCCCAGGGGCGGCTTATAGGTGAGGGGGCGTGAGCAGCCTGGAGTAGAGCGGAGGAGGAGAGGGGCTGACCCAGAGCTGACCGTCCTCACCAGGAAACCATTTGGTTCGAGGCCTCCGGAGCGCTGATCGCTCCCCACATGCCCTGTGGGTGAGCAGCCTTGCCGTGGGCCCAGGGAACGCGTGGAGGGAGAGAGACTCTCCCTTTCCTCAGCCCTCATCACAGACCCAGCAAACTGGGAGAAAGGAAGCAGAAAGAGGGAGAGACGGAAGTGCAAGCACCATGCCCCCAAGCTGCAGGTCCCTGGAGCCAGAACGAGGGGCGGAGAAGCCCGCTGAGCTGGCTCTCACCTCAAGGCTTAAAAGTGGACTAGCCTGAGCTGGCCTTGCCGATACTAAATGTGACCAGAAAGCCTAAGGTATCCTTAAGGGACAAAGAAGGCAGATTTGCTAGCACCCACTTCAGAACGGTGCAAAGCGAAGAATCAAACCGCTTCGTGTTCGTACCCCACTGAGTTCAGATGGTTCAGTAAACTGCTGACAGTGGATGTTATTATTACTCTACAGTTCTTTGTTTAAAATTCTTTTTATAGCACTTTGAGCTGCAGGAGGGAAAGCTATGAACCCAAATAAATACAACCACCCAGACTTTAACGGATGTGAGGGAAGACCCAAGCCGTTGGCGCTGGGGCCCGGCCTCTCCCCACGCGGGCTGCGAGTCGTCGCTCTCGGGGCCTGGCCCTGCCGTGGCCCTTCCGGGAGGAAGGCAAAGCCCCTCCACGCTCAGGAACTTAAACCCTCCACGACCGTCGTCTTATTAGCTCCTGTCTAGCTGTTTCCTGTTCAGTTCCTCACCCGGAACCACCTTTTCCTTGCCCGGTTTCTGGCAGAAGTGGGTCGGCACCGCACCCCACCCCACCCGCCTGCCTTCGGACAGGACCCCAAGGGGAGGGGGCTGCTAGCAGCGCCCAGGTCTTGGCTCTGCAGCGAAGCGGACGGGTTCAGCACCCGCTGCTGGCAGTCTGGCACCTTTCTGTCACCACGACTAAATCCATTTTAAATTTAAGGAGTAAATTTTTTTTTAATGAAACCATGAAAAAGGAGTTCTCTGACAATAAACACATCAACGCTCATTTTCCTTATTATTCTACTTTCGGCTATTTCGTATAAAATCTTTAATTAAAGTTTTTCTTTGAAATTGTCATTATCAACCCAGAAGAAAGAAAGGAGGAGAAAGAAAGAACAACACAGCTGTGCAGATATGACGCGCTATTCAGGACTAAACGAACTGGAACGGAATAAGGAGCTTGACTGTTCTGTTCCGAGTGTTGGCTCCATATTCTCAGCAGCACAGTCTAACTCGTCACTTTACATCGACTCCATCTGTTTACACTCTGCAGAGCATTGGCTTCCTACCGCGAACGTTTCCTATTTACCAGCTGGTAGAGATGAGCCAAACCAGATAGGAAAAAATTAGACTGCATTCAGAACCTCGTAAATGCACACTTTCGACTTGGGGACATGTGGGAGGAGCGGGCAGGCATCCCTCACCTTTAACAAAGGCGGCACCTCCGTGCCTCCCGGCGATTCTTTGTCTTAGGGGGCTAGTGCTCCCCCCAGGGGCCGGGGACTAGGCGGTTGCTTCTCGCACGTATGCAAACCCTGCCTTTACCAAAACTTGAGCAGGCTTACATAAAGAGACATCTGAGTGAGAACCAGGAAAACAGAGAAAAGGGAGCTGACTCGAAAAGAGCTCAATCAACCTAAAAGTCATAGTTGCTATAACGGAGCAGAAAATCCAAACACGCAGTTTCGGGTTTCCTTGCAGCCGAGGTGAAAAGAAAAACTTGCTGTTATATATATATGCACCACAGGCCATGTAAATCTTCCCCACATTTGATTTTCATTTTTAAAATGTCTGCCTGCAACATATGGCTTAAAGATTTCTAGTAAGAAATTCTAGCTACCCATTGAACTTCTGACACAGCTATGAAAATGAGCCGCAAATCTAAATATCTAGGGACTTAAAAGGGTGCCAAATCTAGAAGAAATATTTCCCGTCTCTCTCCTGTTTTGCAAACCCAGCACACGCTCGTAGGACGGGCTCCACCCCAGACAGCACAGGCGTCGCTCACAGGACAGAGCTGCTCACCAGGAGGGGCGAGCCAGTCACCTCCTAGGAACTCGGTGTGCCCCCCACAGGCCAGAGGCACTAGGCCAGGGCAGGCTGACGGTGGTGACTGGAGACGAGAGTGCCGGGTTACCCCAAGGTCTGACCATAGGGGCCCCGCCCCCAGCTGCTCTCTCACATGTGTCCACTGTACTGCTGACACCTGCCTAAGACCCCTTTCTCAGGCCACAGTCCCTTTGTCAGGCCTTCGGTGAGACCCCGCCACCCCACCGCCACACCCTGCAGCGTGCCTTAGGGTTAATCCCCAAGTCAGAGACACCGCTCTTTTCCTCCAGCCTCCCCTCCAAATTCGGTCTGTCCCGCCCTGCCCTGAGAGACAGAACTGGGCTCAGGATAGTCACGAGCTCATCTGCCCGCTGCCCCGACATCTCCCCACCGGCCCCATTTCCAGGCCGCGACCCCGAAAGCTACCCCGCACCTCACCCTGTGCGCCCCCCACCCCCAGGACCGAGTCCCACTCTGACTCCAGCCTGAGAGGCCGCTTCCCCAGCTGTCCCCATGACTGGCCACTTCCCATGCGAAGCTTGTTTCTCCATCCAGTAACTAGTCACTGGGTTTCTATCTGGCACTGAAGCCACAACACCGAGCAGGAGAAGGCGCCCGCTCCCAGGGGACACGTATCCTAGCAGTAAACAAGTAAACAAGGAAGCAAAACTCCCAGGATGCTCTGAGTGTTGAGGAAAACACAGTTGTCGACAGTGACTCAGACACCACCCTGGAGGGATCCCTCGTGGTGAGCGCCGTGAGCCAGGCAGCCAAAAGCCGCGGGCCTCCCAGGGGGGTCTCCAGGGCCCTGACTCACGTCTGGAACAGCTAATTCTGGGTGTCGGATGGAACGCAGATCATAAGGACGAGTGGGAACAGGAAAAGCAGTCCAGGGGTTGTTGACAAAGCAAAGGGGGCGGGGGCAGCGATGGCGGTGGGATGCAGAGAGGTGGGTGAGTTCAGGAAAGACCTCTGGATACAGCCAACAGGACTGGCTGGAGGGCTAGACATGGGAGAGGGGCCAGGCGGGGAAATGGGTATGAAGGTTGGTCCTAGGTGTCTGCTTGAATGGCTCAGTGAACGGTAAAGCCATTTACCAGAGTCGGGGGGGTGAAGGGGTGGTCAAGGGAATAAAGCTTCTGGGGGGGGTGAGGAGGAGAGTCCAAGTTCTGATTTTCCTTGTGAACAATGATGTGGCCAGAGCTTCAGACGGAGGCGTGAACGCAGACACCATCAGCACATCGCCCTCTCTCCCTTCCCCTCTGCAGCTTCAAATGCACCATCGCTCGACTTTCCATGCGGCTCAGCTCCTCGAAATGCAAACTCCTGACGTTCTGAGTCACTTCCGGCAGTGTGGTAAGTTCACCTCATGGTTATTCTCACGTAGACTCTCTCAACACCGCAAGCACTCTGCAACAGCTTCCCCGGTTCACGGACGGACCAGTCTGCAGAAAGGCTGCTTGGGCCACTCGGCTGTGTGTGTCGCACACTCAGCTAGGGAAGTCCAAGTGCTCCAGCCCGCTTCCCCTGCACCCCACTGTGTTAAACATTTACCCCCACAATCTTGTTTGTACTACTGATTTGCCACATACGATAAGATATTATTATTTGTTAAATAAACTTAGTCCGAAATAATTACAAATCCTCATATAACAGAATCTTTGCTTTTGTCTCCCGATGAAGTCTTTAGTAAATTAATAATAGAGCAACCAAAAATAGGTCTGGGGTAGAAGTGTTTTCGAGATAATTTTTTTTTAAATGGCAACTGATTATTTTGTTATGTGAAATTCTCTAGATCAAAATGTAAGCCCTGTTCTTCATTCAGTTGCACGAGACACGAGCGTAAGAGCTGTGACATTATTAATCACTATATTCAGTTATGATTGATAGGCTTTTCTGCGGGGAGGAGAAAGTGCCTCAGATGCAATCTGTCCCAACAGCTCTGCGATATGCTAATATTTTCTTCAGATGAAAGAGAAGATGTGTTCAAATACCTGCTATAATAGGCAATTAATACCAAGAGCACCAAGGTAGACCTGATAAAAGCGAGATTAGGAGAGTACTGCCAATTAACCGAACGCTTGTATGTTTTAGTAAATGGCCTCATTTTGAGTTTGACACAGTCGTCTTATTAGGCAAACAGTCTGCATTCCAGTACATTTGTTCATGCTAATGCGGTGTTACAACGTTAAGGTATGTTTATGAGGTGGTTGTGATTCTGGCAACTGTTTCTTTATTCCTCAAGCCGTAATTTTTTAGATTTCATTTTTGATGGAAATGTGTCTATATAAGAAAATAAACCTACCCATCACTTGCGTCTCCTCTTCGTGGATGTTACGGACCAAGAGAGCAGCTCGGTACCTTTAATTACTTACTAATTGCTTCTGGAATGACCAAGGCTACATCTATAACCTCCAAGGCACCCGGGTAGTCCCATAAGCCTGTGTCAGTCACTCGGTGTCCAACAGACACACTAGTCACGCCCGACTGGGTAGACCAGATGTTCTGACGTCACAGCACCCAGGTTTACAGACTGTGCCTGGCTTAGGTGGTGACGGCAGGAGAGCAAACAGCCTGGGGCTTAGGATGTGTTTTTTTCTTTTTTTCTTTTTTTAATGTCTTTAATTGCATCCTACAGTCTTGCATTCTCTCTTCTCTTAAGAAGAGTTTT